AACTTATAAACAAGCATGCAATTAGTTTTAATTATTTTGCATTTTGAAACCTTTGACTAAAATCCATTAAAATGAGTGAAAAAAAAAGTATATCTTAGATTTAGATACAATTTTTTCCCCTTATAATAAGTACCTAAAGTTTAGTCAACCAAATTTCATTTTCAAGGGTTCTCAGTTCTCACTTATCGCCTAACGTGTCTGTCCTTCGCCTGCCACTCACAACATGACACGTCGCCACCTCCATTGCCGATTTTTCTCCACAGCATTAAACAATTAAGCAATCATCGTTTTTTTAATCAAGTGTGCATACTTTCAGAATTTATAATAATCATAATCTAGAAAATGATATAGATAGAATATAATGTTTCATAATATAAAAATATAATTTAATATTTAAAAAATACGACAAGTCGACACGTCTAATAGTTATACTTTCTCACACAATATAAATTATTGTTATTATTTTTTTTTGTGTAGGTCTTTTATTAGGTCTACTTGGCAAAACAACTTTTAAAAGAGTCAAATACTTGGCAAAACAACTTAATGCGGTACACCCATTTACATCCAATGGCATTTTTTCCAGGAGGAAATGGAACAATATTCCAGGTTTGGTTATTCTCGAGAGCCTCAATTTCAGACTTCATGGCAGAACGCCAGTTAGAGTCAGCCATGGCCTCGTTAAAAGTGCGTGGCTCGACGGAGGCCTCTATAGCTGCTAAAAAAATCTTATGGGCAGATGAGAAAGCAGTACTATCAACAAATGAGATAAAGGATATGGTGTACCTGAGGACGATGAAGTGGTTGAAGAGTGAATAGGGGGGGGAAATAATAGTGTTCGTGACATGATCGCGCAGCCTGACGGAAGGAAACTTCGTCCGATGACCACGACCCAAGAGCTCATTAGACACTATAGAGTCAGAACCCCCCTGACTACAGTAGGCCCAGAAGGAGATGAGGATGCGGGATCGGGAGAGATGACCGGTACAGTATCATGCATAGATGAGGACTCATCATCAATAATAGGCCACGGTGTAGAAGAAGGATGCGGGACAGAGTCAGCCTCAAAACTAGTTGCCGTAGAAAAGGGAAACTGATTCTCACAAAATTTAACATCTCTAGAGATCAAAAACTGGCGAGTATCAATATCAAAAACAGACCAGCCCTTCTTCCCAAAAGGATAGCCTACAAAAATGCACCTTTTGCTACGACTGGCGAATTTATCACCCGAACGATCCAAATTATGAACATAACACAAGCAGCCAAAAACACGAAGATGTGTAAGAGTGGGCGGTTTTCCAAAAAGAACTTCATAGGGACTCTTCCCACGTAGGACGTCAGTGGGAGTATGATTAATTAAATATCCGGCAGTCAAGACACAGTGTCCCCAAAATTTAATGGGCAAATTAGCCTGAAAACGCAGAGCGCGTGCCACGTTAAGAATATGGCGATGCTTGCGTTCCACTCGACCATTCTGCTGGGGGGTTGCAACACAAGATGTCTCGTGTAAAATATCGTGTTCCCGAAAATATGAAGTGAGACACATAAACTCAGTCCCATTATCGCTTCGAACAACTTTCACCAATTTATTAAATTGTCGTTGGACCATGGCAAAAAAACTAGTCAAAGTAGCAAAAACACAGCTTTTGTCATCCAACAAATAAAGCCACACAGCTCGAGAAAAATCATCAACAATTGTCAAAAAATATCTAGCTCCAGAAAATGAGGGGACTCGATAGGGACCCCATAAATCACAATGAATCAAAGCAAAAGGTTCCAAACTAGTACTTGAACTCAAAGGAAAGGAGTCTCTAGTATGCTTGGCACGATAACAGACATCACAACCTTTATTGTTAAAACTACTACCGTGACTAGAAGATAAGTTACAAAGCTTTCCAATAACCTGTGGAGGTGGGTGACCCAATCGTTGATGCCACAAGTCCACAGATCCACCAACAGATACCTTAGCCGCCATCGTCTGCATAAGATCACGAAAGAAATATAACCCCCCCTTTTGTTCACCCAGACCAATCGCCGTCTTCGTAGTACGGTCCTGTATTAGACAATCAACATTAGTGAATTGGGCAATACACCCATGATCGTCTAACAAATGGTATAACGAGATAAGACTGCATTTAAGACTAGGAACAAACAGAACATTAATCAAGATCAAATTTTGACTAAGGCGAACTTTGCCGGCTT